AGGCAGGAGGCCAGAAACATGTGGAAAAAGAGTCGAGAAGGGAAAGGAGAGAGAAGGAGCAAGAGGTTACAGAGTCAGGGAGACTCAGAGTCAGAGTCAGAGAGAATACGAGAGCAACAAGGAGGCAAACAGCCCCTTCTATAGTGAGTCAGGCACTATATGAAAGGGAAAACTACACAGAGAAAATTGTGGAGCAGAAATGGGGGCTTTGTGGTCTTTAGTTACTTCCTGCTGACTTTGGGATGGCGTGTCTTTGGGAAACCCAAGAAAATGTGTATGGGGATGTTGGTCCAGACTTAGAAGAGTTGAATATATGTAGTATAATGAGAAGCATTTTGAAGTAGGTATTGAAGACAGTTATCAGAAACTGGAAAATTTGACAACCTTGTGAATATGATAATTGATCATATAGTTTGTCATAAAAAAACCTTACATCTATAGTTAAAAGACAACAAGAGAAAACTTATACTTGTAACTATGACAACTGATAGGATAGATTTAACAAGAATCACTTTAAGAAACACATTAAGTCTATAGCTTAAAGACAATCAAAGGAAATGTAAATTTTGAACTTGTGATTATAGAAGTTGGATCCTATAGTGGAAGGTTTTATTAGGGTTGGACTAATTTATAAGAACTCTATTGATTAATGTTAGGACAGTGTCATAACAAGAGGAGGAAATATAAAGCATTAAGTCACTGGGAACTGAGTTTAGGAAAGGAAGTAACAGAAGATTATATCTGTGAAAGGCTACATCTGAACTTATGTATCCATTATGTGAAGTCTGTGAGTAAGGCAACCTGTCTCTCTTTGATAAGAGATCTGGCTGTTGTAACTAGTTAACAAACTGATTAATGAGCTAATAAGGTGGTAGATTACCTTGGAGAAAGCTGTAGTTAGCTTTGCTGTCAATGTGGTCAGAAATTTGAGAAAAATAAATTATAATCTAGATGTCATTAATTAAAAGGACAGAGGTTGGTCAATAGTCTCCTACCTAGACAGTTTTCCCAGATTACCTAAATCTCCATCACAACTCGGGCTCAATCGGTGTGTCCATTAGGCCCAGAAAAATGTGGAAAAGGAATGTGAGAGAAATGGCTCACCTTGTCCTAGGCAATATGAGACATTTAACTCTCTGGGTATCCTTAATTTTACAACAGTATATGCCAAGCCCAGGCAGCAGCAATGCTATGAAGCACATTTTTCCAGTGGTTTTTATAAAACAATCTAGGCAGTCTTGTCACTGTGCCTACATTTTCTTATAGACCTTGGTGGGGATGTGAGAGGTTGTAACTGTTATGCTTGGGGAGTCTCTGTCTGTCCTAATAATCTTAAACATTTGCTGCTACATTTAGCAGGTTTCTGAGAATATATACAGCTAGTATCTATTAAGAATATCTGACTTAGGCAATCTCTAACTTAAATCAGTGATCTTTAGTCTTTTTACTGTAGTAAATGTTTAAATTACTATTAAAATTATTACTTACCAAAGCAGGATAGAAATCAGAGACCCTAAGTCAAGATGTTCTAAGGTGAGGAGGCAGTGAGGTAGTAACTGACCATAAAAAAGATGGTAGGTGATCATGGGACTGTCATTAACTAAGATGGCACTGAATCTACAGCCAGTCATGTCACCTCCCTTGGCTAAGATGGCACTGAAGCAATGGCATAGCAAAACTATCTGTCCACAGAAAAGATTGTAGACACTCAAGAGTCTGCCCCCAACCAAAATGTTTCAGAAGCTACAGCTCTGCCTGGAGGATTAACATATTTGTTATATCTTGGAATGGCAGAAATAATTGTGTATCATCAAATAAAATCATATAAAAAGACAGACATATAGAGATAAATGGACACATTTTGTCTGATGGACAAGAGGTCTCTGCTTTCACTGTAGTCAGCCTCTATTGCTATGCCCAGAGCAGTGGGTCTGATCAGCTGTCACACTTGGTTTAGAGCTGATGCAGAACAGAATGGAAAGAAACCAGAGAGCTGACAGTGGTGGTGGTGGGCAGGCCCCAGGAGCACAGAAGCATAGTCTGAAGCTCAACCTGGTGTGAGCAGGGCAGAAATGGAGAAGAGCAAGAAAGTAAGCACCTTGGGTAGACCAGGGAGTAAGAGGCAGTGCCTGTAGCTGTGCTCTGTCTGCCTGCAACTCTGCTCTAGCACAGCATGTTTGTGCCTCATGGTGTTGGGCCCAGCAGAGAGCAAGAAAGCAAGGGTAAAAGTGGAGACAGGAGGCTAGAGGTACCCACAGAGGCAATGGTAGAATCATAGGGGAACACTGTTTCTCAGTGGTTATCATACCACAATCTAGGTAGTCTTGTTGCTCTGCCTATATGTGGGAGGGAAAGCAAAGAAAAAAAATGTCAAGAGATGGAGGTAATGAGAGAAGACCCTACGTAGAAATCTTTCCATTTTTTCAGATGGCTGGAGAGAGAGTTGTAAAAGTTTTGTTTTATTTTGTTTTGTAAGTGCACTTAAACAGCCATGTAGAATTATAGATTAGTGCATATAGATTAGTGCATTAGTGCAATATAGATTAGTGCATATTAGTGCATAAATTTAGCCTGTGAATTTGAAAGCCTTTAAGAGTTTGAGGCATCCCAGTAGGGAGCCTGGGAGTGGCCAGGAATACAGACTTTTTCTAGGTGTGAGTGGCAGTTATTAATTACCCCTACCAGCATCCTGAGGATAAGTTAACAACTAAAACAACATTAAGTTCAGATCATCAAGGCCTCAAGCAGTGAGTTGAGGTCTGAGCTCAGGCATGTACTTGAATGGGCAGTGAGGGGCATTGTTTACCCAGGCCTGGGATTTCACAGCAGTGACAATAGGAAATGGCTCAAAGGAAAAAGGAAATCTCCTTCAAGGGAAAATATACTAAAATGATTATTCAGCAAGGAGGCCAGTCATAAAGACTGCGAATGTCTTCATCCACAAGGACACCACAGGTTAGCTGCAAGCTCAACAGCCCTCCCTTGGGATCAGGGGATGTTTACACTGACCAGTGTGGGTGAGGGAGATTACCAATTTTCTGGTGTTTGGATGGCTAGGTCTAGCGAGTGACCTATTGGCTGGATAGGTGATATGACAGCAGGGGATGTTAACCTGTGATTTTTTT